ATATATACTATGTAGAGGAAACTGCTTTATAGAGAACAAGCACACAGACAGTGTTTTGAAACATTTGAAACTAATTCCAAATGTCTAATTTTATCTTTCTATAATTTTATAGTATTACAAACAGAGTAGATGTTCTACTTGATAGATACTCCCCACAATTAAAAACAAAGCGAACTACGCACATCTGCCTGACAGCTTTATAGAAATAAAAACTATTCAATTGAATTCCTTATTCAAATTGAGAATAACAATAAAAAATGTTTAACAAAACTAATAAATGCACCGCTTAAGGCCGAAAATTAAACTCAATTTCTTTCGACGTTTCGTCTATTCGCCTTTATACACAGGCTTGCGCTTCTCGGCGAATGCCGCCAGTCCCTCCAGACGGTCCTTGGTGGGTATGACTTGAGCATAACAAACCTCCTCGATGGAGTAGCCCGTGCTGAGGTCCACCTGCATGCCCTTGTCTATGGCTAGCTTGGCCATGCGCACGCCCACCGGCCCATTGGGCAATATTTCTTCCGCCAACTTCACCGCCTGTTGATAGGCTGCATCTTTGGTGTCGTTTTGCTGCACCACATGATTGACCAAACCCAGTTGTTTGGCTTCGGCACCATCCAGCACGCGAGCCGTGAATATCAGTTCCTTGGCTAGTGCGGGTGAGAGTATACGAGGCAAACGCTGGGTGCCACCAGCGCCGGGTATTATCGCCAGGCGTGTCTCTACCAAGCCCATCTTGGCATTCGAGGCAGCTGTGCGTATATCGCAGGCCAGAGCCATTTCTAAGCCACCTCCTAACGCGGCGCCATCGAGGGCTGCAATCACGGGCATGGGTAGCTGCTCAATGCTAATAAGCAGGCTACGTAACTGAGTCACAAATTCTTTAGTCTCCTCCGCAGTCATGCCTAAAATAGAAAATAAATAAATTAACAAAATATTTATGAAAAATAATAATAAAAAAATATATTAGGACGATTGGAGATGCCGGGGATTGAACCCGGGGCCTTTCACATGCAAAGCGAACGCTCTACCACTGAGCTACATCCCCTTACGAAAACCGCGTCCCCTACCTTTACGCTCTTTCAAATCGGCGCCGGCACAAAATATGCCAGGTGTCAGACTGCGCAACACAACAACACGTGAACCGTTATCCCGCTTAATATCCTGCAGTATATCAGTGAAAGTGTTGACCATTCCGCGACTAAAGGCGTTTTTCGCAGCTGGTCTGTTCAGACCCAGCACTGTTATGCCCTGCTGTTTGCCTTGCAGACGTTCCACTAGAACTTCGGTGCCATCTCCTAACTCCGCATCAATGGAGTAGCAACATCTGCTTGCAGTTTTTAGAGGCAGTGCTCTACGCGTAATTAGCTTTGCAGCATGTTGCAATAACAGCGACATTATTTAATATAAAAAAAAAACAAAACAATCAATTGTAGCAAAAAAATTACAAATGGTTATAAAACCGGCAGCGGTAGTGAAGAACGCTGATGAAGAAGAAGCGAAAACATAAATAAAAGAAAAACTGTGAGCGGAGTGTAAATACCCTTTCAGTTGTTTCACTTAAAAAAATATAAATATATAAGTTGTATCCATTTTCGAAAATTAAGCAGCAACAATTTGAAATGTATAATTTTAATAATAAATAATTTAAATAAAATCTATATTTTAAATGAGACATTTTAACTGTTATTAAAACATATATACACATATGGCGATACATTGCTGAACTGAATCAATCTAGACAGCAAGATTAGGGTATATAAAACAGCTGTTGCGTCAGTGTTGGCAAACATCAACATCCAAAACACATTAGCAGTTATCGATAATCGATTAAATCTTTTTCTTAAGCTAAATTTACAGCCGGGCACTTCTAAATTATATTTTCCTTATAAAATTTTTTAAAATAAAACACAAAAACACTGCATGGCTTTGAAATTCAAGGGATGCACAATTTGACTAGGTACCATACCATTCCAAGCAGCCGCAAGCGAAAGCAAAGCAGTGACAAAAATATATACACTCTGTGCCTTCGCATGACGTAGTCCGCCTAAAAAGTGAAACGGCAAGAAAATACAAAAACAAAACAACAACAACAGCAACAGCGACGTCAACACAGACTGAAATCTGTGAGGTGCGCGCTGTGTAAGTGCCAAACTAGAATGGGTTGCTAAATAATTTCACTGATTCATCAAGCTGTTGTTTCTTTCAGAGCACTTGACCTGCAGCTTCAATATGTTGATGCGCAGTGTGTGGCTGCTGCAGCGCCGACAACCACTTTACACACGAGCCGCTCTCCTATGGAATCGGCAACACTTCTCCTGGTGTCATGGCCTGCAACGCAGTGAACATGTGACGCTTCGGTTACAGGCTCGCAGTCGTCTGGGTGGAGGCAAAACCTGTAATGCGTCCTCCTTGCTGCTGATGCGCTCGAGCTCCAGTGACAAGGGGGGCGGTATAAATGATAAGGCTCCTGTCGATTCAAATGTCCGCCAAAAAATAGATGAAGCAGTGAACAAATTGCCCAACGTGCAGACGAAGAACTTTGAAATAAAAACCTCGAAGGGCATCCTCTCAATAACCACCACCATTGAGGACTCGAAGATCAATGAGATTGTGTTCGAAAAGGCGGACCTCCCACCGGTGGCCAAACCCGCGTTACATGTTATGCCAGGCATTGAAGTCAAATCAACAACAAGTTCGCCTGAGTTAGTTCCAGCGCCGCCTCAACGAAAGGACGGAGGAGATGCTCCAGCACCAGCAACGCCTGCAGTGAAACGACCGCGCTTCGATTACCGCATGTCGCTCGAGCGTAATTTTGTAACGCCTGCGCGTGCCCTATCCGACTTCATGCTAACCCTCAAAGACTTGGAGAAACTGCCCAAGATAAAGCGCAGATCGCCCTACGAACAGGAGCCACCGATGACGGTCTATTGGCGACGCGATGTAGAGGCCAAGGCGCTTGAAGTGTGGGGCTCAAAGGAGGGTATTGTGCGGGAGCGACTTAGACGTGACCTAGAGCGCAAACAGTATCAACAGAGTAAGTGAATCTCTCAGTTGATCAGCTTTCATTGTGTTGCTAATGCATAAACGATTTCAGATGTATTCACTGTGAAGCGTCGCCTACGTGACTATCGACGAGAAGTGGGCTCACGAACCACGACCATGCTGGACACGGATATAAATTCGGAGAAGTCCGGACAGGTAGTTGCTACAGCCATTGCCATGTGAGTACATTACACGTAGTTCTTCACTTCTTAAATAATGGTTTACCTATCCATTACATTAGCAATGCAGCTAATCTACTGTTTAAGACAGGCGGCTGGTTATACTGCGGCTCGCACAGCATGTTTGCAGAGGTCATTCACTCACTTGCAGATCTGGTCAATCAACTTATATTGGCCTTTGGCATCTACAAGTCGTCACAGTTGCCCGATACGGTTCATCCGTATGGCTATATGAACATGCGTTACGTCTCTTCCCTCATCTCTGGTGTGGGCATATTTTGTGTGGGCAGCGGCTTATCCATTTACCATGGCATCGAGGGACTGCTCAATCCGGAAGTCATCACTGATCTGTTTTGGGTGTATTGTATTCTGGCCGGCTCCCTTGTCAGTGAGGGTGCGACCCTCGTGGTGGCCATCAATGAATTGAAGCGCGCCGCCAAAGAGAATAAACTAAGCTTTAAGGAGTATGGTAAGCAATCTCAATATTAACTGTGATATGTCATGCCTATCTAATAATTTTCCATTGTAGTTCTTACCGGAAAGGATCCTTGTGTGAATGTGGTACTGTGTGAGGACGCAGCTGCTGTCACTGGCGTAGTCGTCGCCGCCGGCTGCATGGGCCTGAGCAGTTTAACTGGCTCACCAATCTTCGATGCGATTGGTTCTTTGGTGATCGGAGGATTACTGGCTGCTGTTGCTTCCTTCATTATTTATACGAATGCCAATGCGTTGGTTGGTGTTTCCATCTCGATGGATCGCCTGGAAAAGATCAATGCGGCACTTGAAGCTGATGTGATGATACGCGCTATATACGATGTCAAGGGAATAGACATCGGCAATGGACGAGTGCGTTATAAGGTGGGTTTATTGTATGGATACTATAACAACTAGACTTCTAATGGCATTCGCTTATTTGCAGGCTGAGCTGGATTTTGATGGACGAGAGCTAACACGCTCGTATTTGGATAAGCAGGATTTAAATAAGCTACTGGCGGTGGGTAAAAGTTCAAATACAGTTATGTTTCAAATGCTATATCTGCTCTAATATTCAGATTGTGCGCGGATTTCGTAATGTGGACGATTTGGAGGGATTCTTGCTGGATCAGGGCGAGAGTATTGTAGACCTAATGGGTGGCGAGATTGATCGCATTGAAATGAATCTGCGCGTGAGTTCGACATTTATTTATATGCATTTATTTCTGATTGATAAAATATTTATTTTCGTTTGTGCAGACGCATTTTCCAGAAATTCGACATGTCGATCTTGAAATACTCTAAAGCCCTCCTTGTTGGCTGTTAACTGAAGAATATATTAGTTTGGACCTGACGGCTCTCAATCAAAATTTCCTGTTTAACATATATATATATATATATTAGGATATATATATGTAAATGATATATATCTATTCGTACGTGCATATATATATACAGTAATTTCGGTTCTGTATTTGAGTGGACTACCGTAGTTAGATGTTTGGTATATGTCTGGCTGGCTTATTTTATTAATATTATTGTTCTCGGGTAGGTTCGATAGAGACTTAAGTGAAAAGAAAAAATTACATTGTTCAATTTTTCAGTTTTAGTGCAAAGATGCAACATTGTATGGTATCTTATCAAAATTGATCGGTTCACACGTTTGCCTAAAATTCTACTATATATTGTAAAAAATAAAAATTAATATGTTTAAATGCAATTTTTAAGAAGTAGCAGAACAAAATCAACAACGTTTTTGAACTAGTCTGGCAACGCCGCTATTGCGCGTTTTCTCTTTGGCTTTGTGTTGTGTTGGCTCTCTGTTTACATATCGAACTTGAAACACCCGCAGTCGCGGCGCTGTCGACGTCGCTGTCAACTGAGCATTTCATTGAGCACGCGACTTTCGCTACTGCTCGCTTTGCAGTGTGAGCGAGAAAGAGAATGGTAGAGCCAGAGACGCCGGCGTACACGGTTAAGCGGGCTGAGTTTAAAGAGCGGCCAAAGCTTTGGTCAGTCGCAATTGACGCGTGCTAAGAAGCGGTTTAATGGAGCTGTGTCAATTATTGAACTAATGTTTTTGGCGCAATAAAATAAAAACAAACAAAAGTAAAAGCAAGTGTTTTAAGTGCGTGCAGTGCTCATAAATTAAATCAATTGTTTGCACGCTTGCCCATTAGCGCCTCATTATATTTTGCTTACAAAAGATAAAATTATGGAAAGTGCTTGAACAAAGGCATTGTGTTCATAAATACAAAGGTGACTGAGTAAAAGCAGAACAAAATATAGGGGTGAGTATGAATATTTTTTATACATTTATTATTTAAATAATTATCATAATAATGCTGCCCCCTTCTTAGCATACGCTAAAATTCCGGGGTCTAGGGTGATGTCCGTCAGCAGAGCTTTCACTGTATGTCTGGTGGGATTCATATTTGGATTGTTTATTTGTTGGTCAGTTAGTTGACCCATTAATGGGCTCAATTCAATTCATTCAATTCACATGCTAATAAGCTGTTGCCTGGGCTCAGTTTATATTCTGCATAAAAAGAAATTCGTCGCGTTTGACATTTCATAGTATAAACAAATCTATTATGCAACTCTTTCAGCTGTTCCATTTCTTTGGTTTGGCATTCTGCTGATTCAGTTGCAGTTTCAGTTCTATTTCTAGTTTCCGTTTTTATGGCCCCATTCAACAAATATGAATTGGCATTTTGTTTTTTAATTTATGCACGTTCTACTGTAATGGAAAGTCAATGTCAGTTGGTATCAATAAATTGCACTTAGCCTTAAGATGATGCTTAAATTAGCATACACATAGCATAGTGTATCTGACACATACATACATACATATATCCGCTTTACTATGTGCTCGCATCCGAATCTCGAATTTTACAATTAGGCCCACTAATCAGCTCTAATCGTTGCAAGCACATAAATACCTGCCCCTATACCACTCAATGCTGTAGTGTTCTGGTTGGGTATGCACGACTGGGAATACCCTAGAAATAAATTTAAATAAAATAAGTCTGTTTTATTGTATAGGAGAAAAATAGCTTAAATTCATAAATGTCTTTTAGTGATTGGTCCATTGGTTCTTCTGAAATTTTCAATAATTTACGCGTCTTGAATAATATGTATGCATATTATTTATACATATATTTATTTATTAGGAACAATTTCGTCCATTGTTAGACCAAAGATCTATTAGAATTTTCAGAAGGTTCTCAAAAGTTTTGTTTAAGTTTGACAAGATCTTATATATATAAATGTCACTATAAACGAGATTAAATATTTTGTTAATGATTTCATTAATTTCCTAAGTTGCCTCTGATTCGATGTAAACAAATCTCTATCTCTGTTTCTGAATAAGTACTATTCAAGCAGCTGCGCTTTTCCCGCCTCCCACCTAACTGATCAAAACTCTTACATACCCTCTTTTATGCAGCGTATATACAATGCAAATGAGGCAATCATTTGCAATGCAGCTCCAGCTTCAGCTCCATCTCTGCCTTCTGCTCATCGGGTATGCCATTGCGCAGCCCCACATCATTTTCATATTGGCCGATGATCTGGTAAGTGAGTAGCTGAAGTCGCTGCAGTAGCTGGAGAGCTATGCGATATTGGTTAAGCTGCTGTTTGATCTGCCGCTCTCTTTTTTGCAGGGCTTCAACGATGTGGGCTTCCGTGGCTCGGCGCAAATTCCCACGCCCAATATCGATGCGCTGGCCTATTCGGGTCTCATACTGAATCGCTACTATGTCAACCCCATTTGCACGCCTTCACGCTCGGCGCTCATGACTGCCAAATATCCCATACACACAGGTGACCTTTTTGTCTGCGGCGGCTGAAACAGATTTCATTTTAGCCCAATTCTCTCGTTCAGGCATGCAACACACTGTGCTCTATGCGGCTGAGCCGCGTGGCCTGCCTTTGAATTTGAAAATATTGCCGCAATATCTGAACGATTTGGGGTGAGCTCAAACTTGTCTCATTTTGGATTAGTTAATCAAATACCTTCCCAATTACAGCTACACCTCCCACATAGCAGGCAAGTGGCATTTGGGTCACTGGAAACGCGTCTATACGCCGCTTTATCGTGGCTTTAGCAGCCATGTGGGCTACTGGTCGGGCCACCAGGACTACAATGATCACTCGGCCGTGGAGCACGGCCAGTGGGGCCTGGACATGCGCAATGGCACCGAGCTGGCCTACGATCTGCATGGCCAATATACCACAGACGTGATCACGCAGCATTCGCTCAACGTGATAGCCAAGCATAATTCGACTAAGGGTCCGCTGTTTCTCTATGTGGCCCATGCGGCAGTGCATTCCGGTAATCCCTATAATCCATTGCCTGCCAAGGATGATATAGTACGCCGATTGGGCACGATTCAGGACTACAAGAGGCGCAAGTATGCGGGTGAGTGGAGTCCCATTGACACAGGGAGAGAGAGAGAGAGAGAGCGACTGTTTAAAAGGTATTATTTACCCTGTCATTCTATCTGATGTGAGCGAGCTAATTTAAATGAGCTTTCCAGCTGTTTATGAATGATGGACTCTATTATGCGATTCAGCTGCGATCGTTAATGAACAAACAACTGAATAACTGACTTGACAATATGATTCACTCATAAACTGCTGAACTGAACCAGCAAATTAATTGAGCCATTCATTGCTCCTAAATGAACATTTGCTCTGCTTTGACTGAAATGAAAAACTTGTTCAAGTCTTACTCTTTGGATTAGGCTTAGTATATATATGTGTATATATGCATATATGTATATGTGTATTATTTTAATGCCAACAGTTTTACTTTTTATTTAATTTTGTTTAATTTTTTGCAGTTAATTAATTTTATCCAACTATTTATTTTACAATGTATAATTGATTCAAATATGAAAGACTTTTAAAGATATTTTTTCGAACACATATACAAAATTTTATTATTATTAAAATATGTTTTATTTATTAGGATATTAAAAACAATTAAGAAACATAACTTCAAAATTGATTTAAGATATCCTAACTAATGGGACACATTGCTAACTCAACTTTGATGCTGTGAGAAAGTAGAATTCCTATATAATAACAAATTTAAAACAATACATTTTGCAATGAAACTATATATAACCATATGCTAACTCTCAATCTCTCTGCATTGCAGCATTGGTCACCGCCATGGACGACTCTGTGGGGCGCATTGTGGAGCAGCTGCGCAAGTCGCACATGCTCGACAACTCCATAATAATCTTCTCCACTGACAATGGCGGTCCGGCGGAGGGTTTCAACTCGAATTTCGCCTCCAACTATCCACTGAGGGGTGTGAAGAATACGCTGTGGGAGGGCGGAGTGCGAGGTGCTGGTCTGGTGTGGTCCGCACAGCTGAGCAAACGTCCACGCGTCGCAGATCAGACCATGCACATTGCGGATTGGCTGCCCACGCTGCTGGAAGCGGCTGGCGGTGAGGCGGCACTTGCCCAGCTGAACAACGCTCAGCTGGATGGGATGAGTGTGTGGCAAGCGCTGCTCAAGAACGAGGTGTCGCCGCGCAAGAGCGTGTTGCATAACATAGACGACATCTGGGGCAGCGCAGCGTTGAGCGTGGGCGACTGGAAGCTGGTGAAGGGCACCAACTACAATGGCTCATGGGATGGCTGGTATGGGCCGGCGGGCACGCGCAATCTCCGCGACTACGACTGGTACCTGGTCGCCAAGAGTCCAGCAGGCCAAGCCCTGCAGCAGCTGAAGGTGTTGCCCAAAACTGCGGATATGATGCGAGCCCGCGAAGCAGCCAATGTCATCTGCAAGGATGCCAGGCTGAAGGATGCGCCGAACATCCCCTGCAACCCACTAAAGGCGCCCTGTCTCTTCAATATACGGGAAGATCCCTGCGAGCAGCGTAACCAAGCGGATGTGTAAGTATTTATATCATTTCATATATACATTAACTCTCAACTCTTTCCCTCAGCTATCCTAAAGTGCTGGAACTCATGCTGAAGGAGCTGCAGCTCATAAACTCAACTGCAGTGCCTCCTGCAAATAAACCCGATGACCCGCTTGGCTATCCACGCTTCTGGAACTACACGTGGACGAACTTTGGTGACTACGTGGACACAAACGATTGTATCTAGATAAAATTGATTAAAAGTTTTAGAAAAAATCGATGGTGTTTAATTCTTGTTAATATTATATCCTTGAGTAGGTTTGCTTCCTAGAACCAAACATGATATAAAGTTCTGATCTATAGGTCTAGGACTTACAGTTATTTATAATCTATAATTTGTTATTTATATAATAGTCGAAAAGCTCATTCTCTTTATCTTTTATACATTTTGAGAGAATTTCTGTGCACTTATTGAAATACCTAAATCATTAAAGCATGGCATTACCTTTCTGAGGAATTCTAATGTGTTCGCTCATCCAGATAACTCTATGGTTATCCTTAGCATCCATATCGATTAATCAAGCTTGTTCTTTTTTATAAAAATATGTCTTTATTACGTCACATACTTATTGACAAACAATGCTTATGCTAAACTTGATTTATATATCATCTTCCTCCTCCTATTTTTTTGTTCTCATTCGCTTAAGCGAAATATTTTTTCTCATATGCAACTACAAGTTGAACTTAGCCTAAGTGAAATTGAAGATGGGACGAGAAAGATAGTCTGAGATAGCGTGAGATTTGTATAGAGCAGAGTGCGGGGCGATAGATCGGATGTGTCCGTTTGACGGCTATTGGTAATGGTAATGGTAACTAGTTCATAGTTCTAAGGTGTCGCTTAAGTTCTAGATATTGATCTACGTCTTTCCATAACTCGTCTGAAATAGCTAGCTAGTGTGTGTCTTGTCTGGTTCGGTGTTCACTTGTCTCGTCTAGTATCTGTAGCCGCTGCCATCGTTGTCGCCGTTTTGACCACCGGGTCCGAAACTGCTGCCATTGCCATTGCCATTGCGTCCCTGGCCTGGCTTGCCACTAGAGTAACCCCGACCATCGACGTTGTCCTGCCCGAAGCCGCCATCCTGACCATTGGGCCGACCACTCGAGTATCCCTGGCCATCGCCAGCGTCTTGACCAATCACACGTCCGCCGATTATTACGCGGCCGCCGTCGGAGCCACCATTACCGCCTGGACGTCCGCTCGAATAACCATTCTGACCCAAATCCTGACCGCCTGGGCGACCACCGGAGTAGCCATTCTGGCCCAAGTCTTGGCCGCCGGGACGACCGCCAGAATAACCATTTTGACCCAAATCCTGACCACCGGGACGACCGCTGGAATAGCCATTCTGGCCCAAGTCTTGGCCACCGGGACGGCCACCGGAGTAACCATTCTGGCCCAAATCCTGGCCACCGGGACGACCACCGGAGTAGCCATTCTGACCCAAATCCTGACCGCCGGGACGACCACCGGAATAACCATTCTGGCCCAAATCCTGGCCGCCGGGACGACCGCCGGAGTAACCACCCTGTCCAAGATCCTGGCCACCTGGACGACCGCTAGAGTAACCATTTTGACCCAAGTCCTGACCACCTGGACCGCCAGCACCGCCAGCACCACCATTGGCATCACCTTCATACCGAATCTGTGGACGATAGCCCTGCTGGTCCGCCTCGTATTCAACGATCTGTAATCGAATAAGAGAAAGTCATATTAGCTACGCTCGAAGTGACAGTTTGTCCTGTTTCCCCAGCATTGATTCAGCTCAGATTGGCAGCTCTTGCTTACTTGCTTCCTTCCATCGGGCAACAGAACATTGTACTGGCCGGTGGTGAAGTCACCGTCGCGCATCTCTGAGTGACCAAAGGAGAGACCACTTGGAGGGTCCTCAACTTGGTAATTAAATTCGTATTTAGCGGGCTCCTATGGGGGTAGCGCGAGATAGTGACAGAGCGTGTGGAGAGAGAAAGAGAGAGAGAGACAGAGAATAGTTCAAGACAGAGATCAGTGAGAAATAGAAGGGAGACAGAAAATGAGAGAGAGCGAGAGATAGAGAGAGAGAAAGAGAGCAAGCAGATCGGATCGGTGCAAGTTTTCAGGGCGTGCAGCGAGGACAAGGAAGCGTTCAATTGAAGGCGAGCTTCGCATTGTTCGTGTATGCGTGTGTGCTTGGAAGGAGCCAAGTAAGAACCCAGAGCCAAACATAGTGCTACTTACATCGTTGTCGTAGTCACCACCTGCACCACCGGGACCACCAGCACCGGCTGAGCCAGCTCCCGATGCCGGCGGACCATATGAATCGGAGGGTCTGCCACCGAAACCGCCCTGTCCTTGACCCTGGCCTGGTGCGCCGTAGCTGCTCGATGGACGACCACCACCATTGCCATTGCCAGCACCTGGAGCACCGTACGAGTCCGAGGGTTTGCCACCGAATCCGCCTTGGCCTTGACCAGGAGCGCCATAGCTGCTTGAGGGCCGTCCGTTACCATTGGCATTGCCTGCGCCAGGAGCGCCGTATGTATCAGAGGGTTTGCCACCGAAACTACCCTGACCCTGACCAGGAGCGCCGTAGCTGCTTGAAGGACGTCCATTACCATTACCGTTGCCGTTGCCCAATCCAGGAGCACCATAGGAATCAGATGGCTTGCCACCTTGTCCCTGGCCAGGAGCACCATAGCTGCTTGACGGGCGTCCATTGCCGTTGCCATTTCCAGAACCCGGTGCTCCATAACTGCTCGACGGGCGTCCGCCTAAGCCGCCCTGTCCCTGACCAGGTGCGCCGTAGCTGCTCGAAGGACGTCCGCCTCCATTGCCGTTGCCTGCGCCAGGAGCGCCATAAGAATCCGAGGGCCTGCCCTGTCCCTGACCCGGTGCACCATAGCTGCTCGATGGCCGTCCGCCTCCATTGCCATTGCCTGCGCCTGGAGCACCATAGCTGTCCGACGGTCTTCCGCCGAAGCCACCCTGTCCCTGGCCCTGCCCCTGACCCGGTGCGCCGTAGCTATCGCCGGGCGAGGGAGGCAAGTAAGAGTTCACTGGTGGCTCGGGGCGTGCCAGCACAGTTGCTGTCAACAGCATTATACCAAATAACTTGAACATATTCCGACTGAGTGCTTGTGCTTGCGGTTGCTGCTGGGAGCTTGGTGGTTGACTTCTCTGCGCCACGAAGCAGCGCCGAATTCTGACTGATCTCGATGTGCAGCCAGTGCACGTATTTATATGAAACGCTGCTCTCCAATCGCAGCAAACGAAACTGAAAGTCGAGGATGCACACACACACACACACACACATATATGCACGCACACACAAAGACTGAGGCAGGGACAAAGTCGTTTATGAGCTGATGTCGCTCAGCTCATCTGGTTGCTGGCTTGCTGCTACGTGTGGCAACCGCAACAGCTGCCACATACGATCATCTTCAAAGCGCCAACTCAGCTGCAGTCACATTTTCCGATCTGCATTGTTGCAGTTGCAGCATACCCTGTGCCCCTTTAAAATGGCCTAAGCTTAGGGGCTTACTAAAGAGGTCTGACTATGTAAGTTGAAGAAATAGGTATTCAGTCAGCTGCATTACAAGATATCTCTATTGATATATTACTGTATTGATATACTGATATATCGATATATTGATATATTAATATAGTGATATACTGATAAATTGATATACTGATATGTTGATTTATTGATATATAAATATATTAATACATATATTGATATATTGATAAACTGCTATATTAATACATATATTGATACAACTATACTATTGTGTACAGGGCATATTGATATATTGTTGTATTGATAAATTGATTAATGTATTGCCATAGATATGGCTATGTGATATATTGATATATTTATGATCCATTGATGCATTAATATATTGGTACTTTATTTTATTTTCCCATGTATACAGGGCATTTGCTAGTCGATCAGTCTAACTGGTCGTTTCTATTGTTGTTCTATCGTCGCCTGCCAGAAAAATCTCAATCTCAATCAGCGCGCTCTGCTCTGGCTTAGATGGTTTGGTTTGCCAACTTGCGATTGTTTGTCGGATGGGCTTCACCTCGTTTGCCACGCGGCTGATTTGCCTTCTTCTTCTTCGTCAAGCTGCACATCATTTGGCGGGTGATTGTGTTTATTGTTATTGTTGTTGTTGTTGCTGTTGCTGTTGCTGCTGCTGCTGTTGTTGGCGCAAAGTAGTCTACTCCGTCGCTTTGGTGAATGTTTCTTTCAGCCATGTTTGCCACACAGCCAGACTACCCCATCTCTGTCTCTCCCAATCTGTCTCTCTCTCTCTCTCTCTCTGTTTGGCTCAGCTCAGTCTGTTTTTGTTTGCCTTGTCAAAATTGAAGAAGATCGTGCCACATGCGACCCCAATTGGGAGTATGAGGAGATCTGGAGAGGGCTGCACACATGGTGTGCACCGATCACAAACGACGGATCGTTTATGAAGGCGCAATTGAAATGCGTTTGATGGGCTTTTAGCATAAGTCTAGGCAACAATTTGTTAACGCCTGGCCGACAAAATAAAAGATCGTCTCGATACGAAACGATTTATTCGAGCTGTCAAGCGAATGCATGTGATATAGCTTGAGTATAATATACATATATGAATATTTTGGAGGTTACAACTGATTGATTGCTAGGGATAAAAATTGCAATAGGCAGTGTACCTGAAAGGTATCAAATGTCGAAACTAGATCAAAGATCCAATGCAGATATCCGTGAATTTAATATCTATTGATGACGATACTTCAAATCAATCAATCTGTATAAAGAGATTTTGCTAATAGAAATGTTCAAATACTTGAGCAAGTTAAGGCACAAGAATATTAAAATCGATCAATTGGCAATATATGTAATTTAACTTCATCGCACATTAAGGTGTAAAGGAATTGAAAATAAGTTAGTTAAAGCTATTGCGAAGGACGGTGGATTCATTGATGATAATTTCTGTGTCATTCAAATGATTGGGAATTTTTTAAGTTCCATAAAATTTTCTGAGTTTTTAGATAAATCCAATTGAAGTACTGTGAAGGCGATAATAATAGAGTAAATTAATTAATAACTAAAGTAATAATTCAAATACCACTAAAACGAACGATTTATTATCGGTAAATGAAAACACTTTATTACATTAACTATATAATAAGATAAAAGACATGGAATCTTGTAATAGATATACTTCTACTACTTCAAATCGTGAATGTAATATTATGCATTAATCTTAAAATTAATCGTTAGATATGTACATTGATATCAATGGGATAAAATCATGAAGTGCTTACCTATAGTACTTATACTGTACTATATGATCTATCTATAAATTATAGCAAGTTAACGTAACTCAACCATAGTGCATGAACAAACGATGCCTTAATTGATCCATTCATTGCGGCCCATCCAGACTTTTCAATTTATGTCAAATTAATTGTGTTCAATTCTCACCTACTACCAAGAAAATCATTTTTAACTGAGCCGGATTCGAGCTGCATCTACCCACACACACATACACACACACACACACACCCACAGGCAGAGAGGCAGAAAGGCAACGAGACAGAGGCCAACTGCAAAATTAATTGCTCAACTACGTGCTGGGAGAGATCCACCTCCGCGTCGAGTCGCAAATGTGCAGACGTGCCGGGTGGAGTTTGGGTCAAAAGTGAGCGATTTGTAGACAAAGACCAGCCAAAGAGCTACTAAAACAGAAGGCAGCAGTCGCCAATTCGGACCTCGTACTTGTTGGCCTGTAGTAGCACGTCCCTGTCGGCAGCTTAACCCCCCAGTGACCCACATAAGTTAGCGACTGCACAAATTGAATGTTTAACAGTTGCGCAGATTGCAAGCAGTGTTGTAAAGTGAGGGAAGCCAAATTCCTCCACACTTAAATATTGAATGGCTAAAGAGACTTTTTGTTTTTATTTAAATATATTTTTTCTACATTTTGCTATTAACAATATTTTGGCTTCTTTATCAAAGGCTAGGCACTGTATAAAAAATTATACAAAAATATTCCCAACGGTTTAGAAAGTATTTACTAAGCTGGAAAATATGCTTGAAAAAGGCTTTTGTTAAGTTTCGCCGTTTCCAGATAAATTTAATCAAATTATCTTTAAAATGTTTTGTCAATACTTGAATAATAAATATAATACGTTGAAATTACAAGTTTATCAAAATCAATATATTGGGTAGTCTAAAAAGTTTTTTCGTATTTTGCCAATAGATGTCGTTGGCGTCGTATATCTCCAGTGCTACCAATCACATTGTGTACACATTGTGGTGTTCGATGGTAGCACTTTAAGCTCGATTGCCAAAAAAAAATGTAATTCAAAAATTTGAAAAAGTTACAGCTGTTCAAAAAGAGGAAAATAAAGAAAAATCCTATATTTTGAAATTTTTATAAAAAGGGAAGAATGCCACGCAAGCCACTAATGAAATTTGTGATGTTTACGGTACGATGCTCATCAGTTCGTGTAGCACAACAATGGTTCGCACGCTTCCGTTCAGGAAATTTCGATGGAAAGATGCACCCGCCTGGTCGACCAATCTTTGAAAAACGATGAAATTATGGAAAGGATTGACCAAGACCGTCACATAAGCAGCCATACATCGCAAATGAACTAAACATTCATCATCAAACGGTTCTGAACCATTTAGAAAAGGCTGCTACAAAAAAGCCCGATGTATGGATACCACATGAATTGTCTGAAAATTTATTGACAGAATTAACATTTGCGATTCTTTCTGAAACGAATGAAATCGAACCATTTCTGAAGAGAATGGTAACAGAACGAAAATGGACAAATACGACAATAATGTGCAAAAGATCATGGTGCAAGAGTGGTGAAGCTCAACAAATGGTCGCAAAGCCAGGATTACGGCTCGAAAGGTAATGCTGTGTGTTGGGGATTGGAAAGAATAATCCACTATGAGCTGCTTCAGCCTGGTCAAACGATTGATTCGACACTTTACTGGGACAACTGATGAGATTGAAGCAAGCAATCGAAAAAACGGCCAGAACTGATCAACAGAAAGGGCATCGTATTCCATCAGGACAACGCCAGACCACACACATCTTTGATGACCCGGCAAACACTGAGAGAGCTGGCTGGGAAGTTTTAATGCATCCACCATATAGCCCTGACCTTGCACCTTCGGACTACCATTTATTTCGGTCAATGCAGAACTCCCTTAACGGAGTAAAGTTGGCTTCAAGAGAAGCCTGAAAACACTTGAAGCAGTTTTCAAAGAAAACCACGAAAGTTTTACACGAATGGAATTATGTCTCTAGTGGAAAAATGGCAAAAGGTGGTCGACCAAAATGGTGCATATTTGATTTAATAAAGTTTATTATAAATATTTAAAAATATGATTTGAAGTTTCATTACAAATACGAAAAGACTTTTTAGACTACCCAATATAATTCTGATTTTTTTTTTTTTTTTTTTTTTTTTTTGTAAATCAAAATATCGTAAATATTCTTGAAAATATATTTTTTAAAACAACATAAATGCTGTGCAAAAATGGAAAACATTTTAAATTATAAACTGTAAATTAAAAATTTAAATATATTTATTCAACAGATCTTTTAATTAGATAAAGGCGTTTATAGCGTCCGTAGACTTCCGTGAGGAGCAGCATGTGAATGCCGTAGATGAGCACACAGACCACACAGCAGTCGTTGAGCACGAGCAGCAGCAGTCCACCTAGGTAGACGCAGAGAACCAGAGTCAGAACTGCAAAGAGCAGCTGCAATTGGCAGAGCCAACGCCTCTCAAAGAAGGCTAAAGTGGGAAATAGAATACAAGAATAATAACGGAATGTAGCTCGCATTTGCAGGCACTCACAGGACGCAAGGAGCAGCGTGTAGAAGGCAATGCCAATAGAGCCATTGGAGGGATGCAAGTGAGTTGAGTTGGCATCAAATACAAGCCGCGTCAAGCCGAAGCCACGACCAAAGCTGGAAGAGGATGAAGTCAGAACTAACCAGAAGCTTCCTTTAAGGACACTCACTCGGACTTGAAGACCGCTGTGCAGCTCACTTGCTCGGCCAAGTCGCACATGGCCTTGTAGTTGGCATCGTGGTCCAGCTGGATCTTCACATATAGCGTATATATTGAGATGAGCAGACCGCACAGGCACAGAACACGCAGGCGGAACTTGGTGGGCGTGGCAGTTGATAATAACTGCGACGTGGA